TGGTGCAGCAACTGGCCTGTGTTTTAGAATGCTTATATGTGCCTGTCAGGTGTAGAGAAAGCAGAGATGCAGAGGCTTGTGGGATTCGATCAGAAATTATTGTCAATGAATTAAACTGAGTCAATGCAATGCTTTCATCACGGACACAATGGCTTGCTCCATATTTCATAATTCCTCATAGCATTCCCACCTGACCCCCACACTCTGGATATTTGCACCCCTACAGCGGTTTAGTCATGCTGGCCACATGACCAGGAAAGCTGTTTGTGGACAAACGCCAGCTCCCTTGGCCTGAAAAGCGAGATGAGCGCTGCAACCCCAGCCTTTGACTGGACTTAACCATCCAGAGGTCATTTACCTTTTGTGCAATATGAATGCTTTTGTAGGTCTGTGTCAATACTTTCTGTTAAATTACTGATGGCCACAACTTCGAGCAGCGGGCTCCCTAGGCCTTCTTTCTTTTTCACATTGCTTGGTTTCTTCATACAGGTGGCACACCTGTCGGAGTCTCTTTCAACCACAGAAGAAAGGGACGTTTCTCCATAGAGGTAGAAAGTCTCTCAAATGCTGGGAAACTGGATTCCTTTTCCTTATTTGGAATTATTATTTATTTATTTAATTTCTATACCTCTTTATATTTTAAGAAAAATCTCAAAGTGGTTTAAAGCACATTAAAACATCAATAAAACAATCTGAAGAAAGTCAAATGTAGAGTATACAGTAAAAGCAACATAATTAACTAAGATAATAAAAAAACTAAATTATCCCAAAGATTTCAAAAGAAAAAATTGCAAAGGAGGTCAATTACAGAATACATACTCCACAAACAAAGGTAAAAAAAACCAAAAACTTAAACATTTTTTTAAAAAACCACTGCTAAGTGAAGTCAAATATAAAATGCACATTTAAAACAGCATAATTAACAAGAGAATAAAACATTATCATAAGCATGACACAGCTGTTTGGCAGGCACCAAAAGATGGGGCAATATAATCCAATAGTTAGGGTTTGCTGTCAGGCAATATCCTTCTGGTCTCACCAGGCACTGGTGAAACCATACTGGACCCTGCATTCGCTCCATAGGATGCGCACAAATTTCCCCTTCATTTTTGGAGGGGGAAAAGTGTGTCCTATAGAGTGAAAAATACGGTAGTTTCATGGATTGTGGCAAGAGAAGGGGGTTGGGTTTAAACGTGTAGTGAGTACGCAGCGAAGGTAATGAGTATATCATCGTGCAGTGAGACTTTGATGGTGCCATTTTCCAGAGCATGGTAAACCACTAGGTAACTCTGAAACATAAACTCTGGACACAAACCATGGAATCTGCCAGCGCAGGATGTGGTGATGGCTGCTAATTTGGATGGACACTGTGAGAAACCGGATGATGGAATACAGAGAGCTTTGGCTTGATCAACAGGATCCATCTTATGTTCTCATCGCTTCCCAGAGTGTAATGGTGCTTTAGATGTTGGAGCATAAATCAGAAACACATTACTAAAACCAAGTTTGAGTCATAAGGATGAAACCCTGTGGCTACTTAGGACATGGTCAAGGGTGCATCTGTCTGGGAAACTCTTTTCTCACTTTGTATAAAGGGATTCAGAGCATGGCCTGAAGATGCCTGAAATTAGAGCTCTTAGGGATGGGGAAAGAATGTGCAACACTCTGTATGGAAGGGTAATACTGTTCTTCAAATAAAAAGGCTCAGGAAAATATAGTATTATTATGGTCTGAAGATATGAGAATTATAACTCATATAAATGCTTAAAGGAGATTGAAAGAGTGTCACAGTTTTAGCTTACTCAAAGACTAGGCAAAAATGTTTTCACCTGCACCCAAAAGTAAGCAAGGAAAGAATATTCCAGCAGAGGAGAATACCATTTGTTCTGGAATCACAACAGAGAAAGTCTTGATGTGTGTGGATGACAACCTAGCATCCACAACGCTGCAACATATAGCAGCCATTAGCAGGCTTTCTCCCAATAGGATGTCTGTGGAGGAAGGCATGAGGCGCATCTGCTCTCAAAAAGGAGTGATTCGGCTTCAGGCAGGTTGGCATAGATGACCCTTGTGGTTCACTCCAACTCTATTATTCTATGATTCCTATGAGGCACCCCAAAACAAATCTATATGAATGTTTACTACATTGGGAACAATTCCACATTTAAAAATGTGATTATATAAACACCCCCCCCTCAGATGAACAGCAACACATGACACATTACACCGTGCCATTTACTAACAGAAATAAAGACAATATGGAAAAGCCATGTGTGAAAAACTAAGTACATCTTATTATTAAATAGCTTTTAATAATAAGAACCACATTTAGCAACAATAAGAAGCTATTATTTTCTGTAGGACTTTATCAGTCTCACATCCCTTCAGTTCATTGAAGTTTGCTGGTGTTATGTACTGAAGTTCTCACCCTGGGCCAGCAGGGAGATACTGTAGATACTTATGCAAATGAAGGATTGAAAGTGACGTTCAGTGATTGGATTGTTTGTATGCAAATGAAGGATCGAAAGTGACGTTCAGTGATTGGATAGTTTTAGAAAGTTGCAACAGTTACGTTGTTCTGGAGCTCTATATAAGCAGGCTGACTTTGCTCCTCAATTCAGTTCTGTTCCAGCTTACAAATAAAGAGCTGCTTTTTTTTAAAAAAAGAGTACTTTGGAAGCAATCCCACTTAATGGAATCTTGAAGGGCTTCAGTGTTTATTTTGCGCCTTGGTTTCCTTCCTGGAAGCCTGCGTTGAGGTATAATCTTGATAGCCATTGCGGACCGTATTAATCAGTGATCTCTCCAGCAGTCGTCTGCACTCATCATAGCTCTGGTAAGGAGCACATCATGGCAATCTTCAGCTTGGGCAATTGCATTGTTTAAGAGTGCCAGTGGTTCGACAGAGGGTGCCTCCATGATTTAAATTTACAGTCATATCTTGGAAGTTGAATGGAATCTGTTCCGGATGTCCGTTCAACTTCCCAAAATGTTTGAAAACCAAATTGTGGCTTCTGATTGGCTGCAAGAAGCTACTGCTGCCAATCAGAAGCCATGGAAGCCCCGTCGGACGTTTGGGTTCCAAAAGAACGTTCACAAACTGGAACAATCACTTTCTGGTTTGCGTCATTGTTGGAGCCAAAATGTCCGTGTTCCAGGGCATTCGGAATCCAAGGTACAACTGTGTGTGTATATATATATATTTGTCAATGTGTGTGTTGGTAATAACAAGGTTGTGCACTACACATATACTCAAAAGAAAGATTCTGTTCTGGTTGCTGTTGCCAACTCCTTCTTTCCCAATAGTCCCAGGCCACAGATCGAAATCTTGCCCAAGTCGTGCATTAAAATCCCCCAGGAGGATAATATTATCCTCCTTAAAGGGTAAAGAGGACCCCTGACCATTAGGTCCAGTCGTGACCGACTCTGGGGTTGCAGCGCTCATCTTGCTTTATTGGCCGAGGGAGCCGGCGTACAGCTTCTGGGTCATGTGGCCAGCATGACTAAGCCGCTTCTGGCGAACCAGAGCAGCGCACGGAAACGCCGTTTACCTTCCCGCCGAAAGTGATACTTGCACTTTGATGAGCTTTCGAACTGCTAGGTTGGCACGAGCAGGGACAAAGCAACGGGAGCTCACCCCGTCGCGGGGATTCGAACTGCCAACCTTCGAACCGCTACCCATGTCCCATTATCCTCCTTAGGTGTCTCTGATAGGATGATATCCAGCAGATAGTAAAATTTATCTTTAATGTCTTCATCAACATCCTATGTTGGCGCATAAGCACTTAGAATAGTAGCCTGTTGGTTTTTGGTGAGTTTTATTCAAAGAGTTGAAAGTTGTTCATTAATGCCGGTAGGGGCTTTTGACAAGAGCTTCACAAGATCGTTTTTGATAGCAAAGCCTACTCCATGTATTCAATGTTCTTGTTCAGCAAGTGAGTGTTTTAGTATCATCATTATGCTGTCCAAGTCCTGAGACTCAATGAGCATACACAAGAGCTTCTGCAGAAAGATTTGTGTTGTGATTTGAGGACCCGATCCCCGCTTGGGTAATGAAGACACGTGGACACAGTATATTAGGTTAAGAAGAGGCCACAACATTATTGATTACAGCATGTGAGAAGGTATTGGCTTAGGCATTGGACCACAGCAAATTTGACTCCACCCACTAGGAGAGGGGTGAGTCTGATGAGGGGTTAACCACCAGTAGGGGGAGCCTGTTGATGCAAATAAAACTATAAGCTCTCCCCTGATGTCACCAAGGGTCATGCCATGGTCCCCCACCACACAGGGCATCGGACAGGATCCACGACTGCCGGATTCCTTTAACGGAATACTCATAAGCGAAGGGGTAGGCGATGGCCACACCTTGCCCTTCCATACACCAACAACACATTCCAATGCCTAACCGCCACCCGAGCCCAAGAGGCTCGCCGGATTGCTGAGGAGGCTGGGAGAACAGTGCTGTCGGCAGTGCTGGAGTGACCCGTAGCCACCTGAGACCTCACTCTAACTAAAGCAAAACAACAGCCAGGAACCCTCCAGATGCCCCACAAAAATTACTAAGGCGAAATAAGGGTACAAATGCAGGTAAAATCACTGGACCCCTTCCTCCAAACCTCACAACTCCAGAATCGGAACAGGAGCTTCCGACTCTGTAACTCTTCCACGTGCTTGGCTCAAACAAGACGACGATGAGTAGGAACACTTGACTCATGGAAAATCTGAAGCGCAATGGTGGGGAGAGCTGGCGCGGCCACATTTGAGCGGCTAAACCATGCCCCTGCGGTGGCCCCTGATTGGGTGCCCAACTGGGAGGCGTGGCGCACCAGCGATGATGAGAGTGCAGGGGGCATAATGCCCCCTGCGTGACACGGGAGTCGTCTCCCGCTCACAATCCCTCCCCTCCGGAAGCAGGAGAGGCTTTACAGGGCTCAGATCTTGGAACAGCCTTTTATAAACATAAAAGAAGTGTCACTGTTTTGATACAGAATATTTGTAGACATTACTCTTTCAGATATAGCATTATTTCAAGGTTCAATTAAACACTCACCTTCCCGTTACACTCTTTGATTCTGGTGCTACCAGTGTAAGACTCCAAAAGGGGGATTCTGGGAGTTTTGCAGGATAGGACAAGAAGGCACTTAGGCTCTTCAGCATGTACACCAAGGGCTGAGCTAATGAGCTAATGACCCTTCACAATAATTAATATACAATCCAGCACAATTCTGTGTATCTTAACTTATCTTTAATTACATAATAATGACAGTTTTCTATTACAGATGCATGATCATAAACATTACAACTGCTTTATATGGACTAGTCAGCTTTGTAATGCTTATCAAATCGTTCTGAAAGAGCTCTTAATATATTTCCTGGCCTTTTTTGGTGTTTATCCCGAAGATTTTCAATTGCAGTCTTTGTCTGTTGAAAGAAGAACAAAGGAATATTGTATTATATCAATATATTGCAAAATGGATATTCACAGTTATTCATATCTGTGGGGAAATGCTAAAGGGATCAGAACCATTAGAATAAAGAATCCCATTTTTTTCCAGTTACAGATTTTTTTTTTTTACCAAGAGAACTGTATCAGAATGGCAGAGATACAACCAAACATAAGTGCCTTGGGCTGCTTGGTACGTATTAGTTTTCCTGCATGGTTGTTCCCTCCAGCTATGTGAGGAAAACAGCAGAAATGCTATTGAGTTATATTTCACTATGCTCAGTGCTATTTTTCCAGAAAAAGAGGTGCCTGAACTCACTATGAACACCTCCCTCATTCTCTTAGAATGGCAATGGCTGACAGGGCTAGTGACAAAAAACAGCCACCTCCTGGTTCCTTGCCTGAAAACAGCACAGCAGGGCATAGGTAAAAATAGTAGAGTAGAATGGAGTCACATTCACGTGCAGAGTTGCAATAAATCAAACAAACATCAGAAGTTCTTCAGTAATAGTTTTATTGAGGATTAGGAGTGTACAGTGCTTACTGGGTTCCCTAGTGGGGAGGGGGCTTGGAAGAACCCTCTGGGGCAGATTCTGGGGCATAGGGTGGGCAGAAGAAGTCCTATTGCATGAGCAGATCTTTGTGCAGCACTACATAAAATGCATAGGTTTTTCGTGGTCTCAACAGGTTCCGGTAGGCAGAAACCATTTTATAGAACTGAAAAAGAGAAAACAACGGGGGGGGGGGAATCCTCCTTTTTTACTTCCAGGTGTAGAGTTAACTTACTTTTTCAGCCAGCTCTGCAGCTGTTATATTTGGATCATATGGGATGGGTTCTCCAATATATGTCCTCAGTTTCACTGGAAATGGCCCATATACGGGAAGGTAGAGAAGCCGTGTTTTCTCATATAACCATCTTGTCAACCCTATGTATGAAAGGGAAAAGAGTCTGTAAGAAAGCGATCCCATATCAAATTTGAAATTAGTTGGCATTCTGAGTTTTTAGCAATTTCAGTCAATCCATCCCAGAGAGGAAGCGTTAAATAGTATGAGTCCTTTGGAAAAGAAAAAGCAGCATATTCTGTCAGCTCTTCTCTGCTCTTTAAAAATCAAGGTCATAAGTTGTAAAATAGACTGCAGAATATGGTATTTTTCCTGCTCAGTTCCTCTCCATGTTGGGGTTCCTACCACTTTTATAGATTATAGCTATCTTTTAAATCTAATAAAAAACTTAGCAAGGACATGTTCACTCAGTCCTGAGACAGGCAGCAAAACTTTTGCAGATCAGTGTACATTGAATAAACTCTACTAGAAAGTAGTAAAAAGATATTCTGTTTCTAAAAAAATGTATATTATTTTAAAATGTTTATTGCCTGAAAGCAGATTTCTTGATCAACCAAAATACTCACTTGACTTTCCAATGTTCCTGTATGCTTCACAAATGTTTTGTGTAAATATAGGGATGATGGGCTAAAAGAATAAAATCAAAAATCTAAATCAAAAGGTAGCTGAGAACTGGAGAATTACTTCACCCCACCCGCTCCACCTTTATTTTGGTTAAGGACTAGGAATAATGCTCCGCATCTGGTATTGCAACGACAAGCCTGATGTAATTGACTTCAAATTGCACATGCTGTCCCCCAGATTTTCAAGAATTGAAGAAGAAAAAAGCTATTTTTCTTTTTAAATGTAATTGATTTTAATAGCTTTAAAACAAAGAAAAGCAGTGGTGGGAAATACAGATATCATTTGACCTCCAAACAGGGGATTTGCCACCCTCAACTACTTAGGATGCTAGATCAAGGATATCAACACATTACGTCTTATCTAGGATAATCGTGAAGGCAATGCAAATTGCACAAAGATCACTCACCACTTTTGCCTCCAAAGCTATCCGAGCGAAACCTGTGCGGTTACCCCACATTATGTTGTAGTCAGTACCGAAGTTTCCTTCTCTACCTCCGCCAGGGGCAATGCCCAGTGAATGGCCTTTCTTCAAAATTTCCACACATTCAGCTTTATTAAAATCTTTCAACCCGGCCGCATCTAAAGCCGTCTTCCACCCTGACAAAATAAGACCCAAATAGAAGAAGAGTGTGGATACAATACAAGTGTCATTGTTCCAAAGATATTGCACTACTATGGATCACAAGCATAGCTCTCTGCCAATCCATTTCAATTAGGATTTCATGGAGGGGGACTTTCTGCTAATTCCTCTTTTGCTCAGATGTTCTAACAGTAGGCTTTTTTTGGAAAGCACATTGATTGGGGTTGAGTGCTGAGGTGGCCACCTTTTTGAAAATGGGTTCCTCAAGTCAAGTTTGTAGTACATTCAAGTTTGCATTATGATAAAAATACAGTCCATAGTGCTTGCTGCACCACCCAAAACTTCAATCCCTTTAGGCTGCAGAGCTTTTGGATATAGTACATACACACAGAGAGAGAGATACACACGTGGCACAGATGAGGCTATGCTGGTGCAAAACAGCAGAGATTCATCTACGGATATATGGGTGGAGAATATATGCCGCATTAATTAACCAGTGGAATACCCCCAAAGAGCACACTTTGGGCTCCTTCCTTCCTTCCTTCCTTCCTTCCTTCCTTCCTTCCTTCCATGACCTTTCTGTGGTGTCATCAGAGGAAGATGAAGATGATGTGGGGGGAGTGACAGTGGAGGGCCATGAACACTACAACAAGGGTGCCACATGTGTTTGATTGCAGTGTTACATGGGGGCATAAAAGCTGTGTGTGGGAGTGCTTGATTGGCCATGTGTTTGGGTGGGGCCATGTTTTCTGGGATCTGTGTGCAGATTTGGTGATTGGTTGGACTAGCTATGAAAGCCACGGACATGTCTTTGGGGCTTCACTTGGGCTTCTGCCCTTTTCCTTAGCTGTAGCTCCCACCCCATCCCAGCTGCCACCCAGTGGTGTTTGAATACAGAGGATTTTGTGCAGGTGGTTTGCTAGTGCAGATGCACCCAAGCAGAATCCCATACTTTGCGCTGTTCTTTCCAGTAAGGAATAGCCATCTTTACTAATGACTGAATTTTGCAAAACTTGAGGAAATCATAAATTCAGAGACGCATTTTCCTAAACCTTTTCCTATTCTAGTATTAAAGTCAGAAGCAATTATTATATGAGAGCCTGCAGTTACAGCATAGAAATCAGATGACACATTATCCAGATTCCTTCAGTTCTTAGATCCCTGAGGAAGAATGTAGACAAGTTGTACAAGAAAGCATGGAATTTCTGCATGGAAGCACAAGAATTGTCTTGCAATCACTAGAGTGGAAGAAGAAGAAGAAGAAGAAGAAGAAGAAGAAGAAGAAGAAGAAGAAGAAGAAGAAGAAGAAGAAGAAGCAGCAGCAGCAGCAGCAGCAGCAGCACTCTCATAGCTGTTTTGAGGTCAGGTCAGGTTTTCCTGCAATCTGTGATCATGGGCCATAGACGCAGGTTGACATGCTGTAATGGAAACATAGCCTGATTCAAATATGATGCCAGAAACATTATTGGGAGAAGAGGTTGATGTTGTAAATGGCTAAAAGCAAGCCTGCAGTTTCCAACTTATTTCATGTGTTGTTTTTCACCTGCTTGCCTGATACACTGTTTTATATTTTATAGCATTGTTTTATATCTTATAGCTTTATTTTATATCATATTTCACATATTTTATGTAAAAAAGCATGAGTTAAATTTAATAACTTACCTGGAAACCGATATATGGCATGATCAATTATTGTAAAGCACTCTCTCCCTGTCTCCTTGAAAAGTCTAGCGACAAGGAAGAAATAGTCAATAGTACAAACTGGGTGATAAAAGATAATAAGCACTGGTCCTTTAGGGAGATGTTCCATGCCAAAAACTTCATAACCTGGAAATAATATAAAATGCAATAAATAAATGTTATTTTGTTGAAAAATAAATGAAATATTGCAATCTTTTATTGGAAGAAAACACTGTGGTTCAGAAAACTGTAATTTACGATCAGTTAAAAAGCTCTCCTATATGTTGCAGCATTCTGGATACTAGGTTGTCATCCACATGGACTGGGACTTTCTCTGTTGTGCTCACATAATAAATGACATTTCTCCTCTGTTGCCTAGAGTTGTCGACCTTTTTTTAAGGGGGGACCCCAAAGTTGTTGATTTTTTTAAGGAGATAGTTGTTTATCTTTAGAATGGTTGCAGACGCAGTGACTCACAGCGCCAACTAACGGGGGTTCCAGCGCCAAACGCACAGGGGCGCATGAAGGTGGGTGCGGGTTCCATGCTAGGGGGGAACAAAATATCAGTCGGCACAGTCGCTATGCTGTCTGCCTGCTGCATCCACACCACCCACTGCATGGCGGCTAACTGCTTCAACTGGGATCCATTCGCTCCTATTCGTCGGATTTGTTGCTGCCGTTGGCACTGTTGGCACGCGGCGGATCCTGTCCAGAGATGTTTCCTCTGCTGCCACTTGCATTTCCCATTGTTCTTCGCTGGGACGTCACGTTGGGCAGTGCTGGGAGCGTGTGACGACAGCGGAAAAGCCAGCAAAGGAACCCACAGCTCGGCACATGCAATAGGATGCATCATGCAGCGCCCACAATGTTACATGGTGGTCCGGGCATGGCACTGAAACAGTTAGCTGCCATGCAGCTGGGGCAAGAGGCCACAGGCTTTTCTGCTGCAGGCAGGTTGGTGCGAATTTGGGAGTGAGAGTTGGAGTCCGGGGAAGAGCCGCCTGCAGAAGACGAACTCCGACGGGCTCTGCTCCTCTCGGCTGTCGGCAGCTCTTCCCTAGACACCAACGCTCGGCCCTGGACTCTCAACCTGACACCCTGAGAGCCCAGCGCCCGGGTGCCGTGCACCCCTAGTGCCAATGATTAAGATGCCCCTGACGTTCATATGGGTTACAATACTATATTTTCCTGAGCCTTTTTTATTTGGAGAACAGTATTACCCTTCCGTACAGAGTGTTGCACATTCTTTCCCCATCCCTAAGAGCTCTGATTTCATGCATCTTCAGGCCATTCTCTGAATCACTTTATACAATCTCTCAGTTTCCCAGACAGATGCACCCTTGACCATGTCCTAAGTAGCCAGAGGGTTTCATCCTTATGACCCAAGCTTGGTTTTAGTAATGTGTTTCTGATTTATGCTTCAACATCTAAAGCAACATTACACTCTGGGATGCAATGAGAACATAAGATGGATCTTCTTGATCAAGCCAAAGCTCTTTGTATTCCATCATCCTCTTTCATGCAGTGTCCATCCAAATTAGCAGCCATCACCACATCACCACATCCTGTTCTCACAAATTCCATGGTTTGTGTCAAGAGTTTATGCTTCAGGGTTACCTAGTGATTTACCATGCTCAAGAAAATTGCACCCTCAAAGTCTCACTGCACGATGATATACTCATTAAATTCGCTGTGTACCCACCACACAGTTAAAACTGTTGTGGTAACTATTGTTCCACGGCCTCAAGTCTGAAATTCTGATGCTCAGTCGTATGAAAGTATAGTAGCTGAATTATTGGTATGAAAGAAACATTTACTCACCATGCCATATCTTTCCAAACATATCTAAAACTTGAGCCGTAATTTGCTTTGGCTTTTTCCAACATTTGGTATCAAAATCAGTTTCTTGCTGGTTATTCCTATTCTTGTAGACATATAGCAAAAATGAGATTGCACAGATAAACAAATATGTCATTATAATGATTGAGCAAGGCAAAATCAGAAGCATACGCAACCACCAAGAGTAAGTCCTTGAGCTCAGGTATTCTTCCATGGAAGGAAAACTAATCCAGTTTCCCAGCATTTGAGTAAAGCAGCTCATGGTTTCCTGATATGAAGCCCCACGTGTATGCCAAGGAAGGAAACAAATCCAGTTAAACCTTCTTTGGTTTTGATGGTATTTCCCCCCGCTGTTTACCTGGAAAACAGAAAATGCAGTATATTAGTTTGAACTGCCATTCCAGAAGCGTTCATGATTACATGAAATCTCCTGCTATTTAATATTTTCCTAGTTTTCCCCACTGTAACTTGCCAAGTAGATACAAGTAGATACAAAATGACAAGTGCATGACTTCATTTATTTCTTGTAAAGCAAGCTGGTTTCAGTCCACTGCTGAAGTATTAAGGAAAGTGAGAAAGGGTCACTTCTCTTTGAGTCAGCAGAAATGGTTCCCCGCCTCCTAAAAGTGCAGCTGCATGCATCTTGTGACTGTCTTCTTTGTGTTGCTGGGCAAACTAACACATACCCCAAGATAGATAAAGAACTCAAGTTTCAGCATTCACTGTTGTGGGGCATTGGAGACATGGATACTGTTGGAATGATCTGGGGAAAATCTGTCAGATTTGTGAAGAGCTTATCTGATGGAAGTTAGACACATTGCAAGACGTCTACACAGAGGGAACTCTGGCAGTATTGCAGGACTTTTTGGAGCAAGTGGACTTTGCACTTGCTGTGTGCACTTTTCCTCAGCAAAAACTTTATACGTCGAAACGCTCTCTGGGCTCAGAGAGTGAAGACTTCTTGTAGCAGAGACAGTGTGTGTCTTTGTGTAAACGTGATCTCTGCTACACAGTTGTTTTTTGTACTGAGGCTATCCACTTAACTCAAATTATATGGAGCGAACACAACACCGAACAAGAGGGAGGGTGGGGAAAATAGTGAGCTGATGGGTGGCAGCATTTTGGAATTCACTGCAAAGTGCCTCTTTCTGGGGATGTGAAGTGGAATAGCAGCGCTGCTGCCAGATAAGAACAGATGCCAATGGCCAAACCTTGTTATCACTGCCTCTAGAACTTCTTTCAAGTTGGTTTATTGGGGACCGTGCCACAATACACAACCATTGCATTTTTGTCTACAAATTACTAAGTCATCTAAAAACAGACCTTTACATAGTTAAATTGCATATTTTTTATTTTACTCTCTCTTCACTACATCTTTCAACAGAAAAGTATGGGAAAAGAGACAAAATTGATAAGGGTATGCAGGCTTTATAGCACAGCTGTTTTGATTCCAATAATAGCTGTGTTATAGGGAGGAATTTAATTTCTGCTTCTCAGTGTTATAATATCTGAAAAGCTGTAAGTGCTTAATTTCATCTCCACAAGTAGCGAACATCCTAGTTGTGTTTTAAGTTGACAATGTGGAAACAGGCTAAGATTTTCACACAACTGGTTTTTACACACGCACACAGACAAGACAGCATTTCTCTCTTGCTCTCTGCTGACCCATGCACAGGAACTGACAAATAAAACAACTACTAGCACATTTGCAAAACTAAGCAAGAACCATTTGTTGAGATTGCAGGGGGTTGACTAGACAACCCGTTGGGCCCCTTCCAACTCTACATTTTATGTTTCTATGAACAAAAACTTTTACTTACATTCCTGGTAAGCCTAAATTGCCTTGACTTTGGTCACCTCTCTCTGAGAGCAGCAAAAGTCTTGTCTGGTGCTCTACTTTTTCGTAGGCTCATTTCCACCACTATGTTTTTTTTTTTAAAGAATTTTTTATTGCTTTATTTTCCAAGGTCAGAATACATCGTCCATGACACAACAAAAGCAGTTTTACAAGAAAAAAGAAAATTTAAATATAAGAAAATTCATTTTTCCAAATCTTTTTTTCATCATCTACTGGACTTCCCCACATCCTCCATCCCTGCATTCTTTACAATAAAAGTGAACAGCAAATTAATACCTTGTTTCATGTGTTTTTGTACTTTCATCTAATTATTTATTCTGAAGTTTGAACTTTTCTCAATCATAACTTAATTTCAATCATTTCCGAATCTCAATACGGAAGCATGTTTTTCTCAAAACTTAGCAAATTTTCAACATTCATATAACTTATAATGTTTTTGTAAATACTCCTTAAATTTTTTCCAGTCCTCTTCCACTGCCTCTTCTCCCAGGTCTCGGATTCTGCCAGTCATTTCAGCCAATTCCATATAGTCCATCAGTTGCGTATGCCACTCTTCCAGCGTGGGTAACTCCTGTGCCTTCCAGTATTTGGCTATAAGGATTCTTGCTGCTGTAGTTGCATATAAAAAGAAAGTTCTATCTTTCTTTCATTTCCACCACTATGGAGACATGTCCCTTTATGTGGAGGTTTAAAGAGACTGTGATGGGTGTGCCATCTGTATAAACAAACCAAGCATTGTGAAAAAGTGAGAAGACATGGGGAGGCTGCTTCTTGGAAGTCGAGGCCATTTGTAATCAAACATAAAGTATGGAGTCACACCTACAAGAATATTCATAATGTACAATTACATACTGGTCACAGAAAACCAGTTCTTGACTAAGGAATAAAGCTGGGAATTGTACTCGCAACACTTTTTTAGAGAAGGTGCTTTGCCCAAGCTCCCTTCCTGCCTATTTGCAGCAATTGGGTCACTCAGGGCGAGCAATCCCGATCATTCACCATAGCCTGCAGCAGTCCACAACAATACATTGCCTTTTTAAATATAATAATTTTTAATAATTTTTCATTAATAACAATCCAATATAGACCACATTAATACAATACCAAATCATAATTCAATTTAAAAAGCCAATTGTCAGATTTCAAATTAAACATTTTGGTTGAGTTCCCATGTTCTGATTTTAGGAGATTTTTTAGGAGATGTTGATTCTTTTTTGCTGCTCCAGTCGAATTTAACCCAATTAATACAGTCCCTATGTTGATCCTTTATTTTATCAGCCACTGATGTGTTGACTTTCATTCGTATTTAAGTGTTCCATATTCTTTAATTTGCAAGAGGAGTTTATATCTGGTAACTTTCTGTGTGGAATGTTTTTTTTTTAATTGTTCAACCTTCCTTTCTTGTTGCAATCAATCATTTCCAGCATTTCCCCCCTGCTCCAAGGACTCAGTTTTACTGCGTAGTGACCTTTCACCACCTTGCTTTTCTCAAAACCGAAAGTGGTCTGGCATCTGGCCATTAATCTGGGCAGACCTCCAGCATTTTCTTTCAATACTTTCCCATCTGATAACAAGCTGATATCTCATCAACACCATAATAAATCAAAGTTAGAATCCTCCGTGGGAGGGTATTGCCACAGAACATCCCATATAATATGGTGCCATATTATAAAAAAATCATGGTGAATATATAAAGAGAAAACAAAGGCTTCTCTCTACCACATACCAATCCAATTATGATTAAAATCTTCTCTAGATCGAGACCTTGGCACTCAGTGGCTGATTCATTCAGCAGCAGGTTAACTTGTCTCCTTCTTCCAGAACATGCCTGCTTCTCAAGTCTGAATTCGGATATAGCTTAAGAAACAGAAGAATCTCTGTGCATGGTGACCACATTGGAGAGTTTCCAATGCATGCAGGGCATTCCGTAGGAGCGGGAGGCAGCTACTGGGCAATCTGCGAGTGAGAGCGCTCCCCCCGACCTGGGGTGGGAGGTTTGCAATGAAATTACTCTCAAATTATCCTTAATCGGCTGCATGCTATGGTGAGAACCATTGTTCACCATGGCGGCAAAAAACGGAAGTCTATTCATAACAATACATTTCAAACAAAATCAAGTTACACTACACCTTTATCCGCTGCCGTAATACCACAGAACAATCCCTCCAATTCTCAGTCTCCTATCAATGCCAAGAAATCTCTCCCTCTCTGCTCACTTTCACAAAAAGTTTGAGAATTCACTGTCCCAAGGGAGGGAAGTTATTCATGGCTCTTGATCATAAAACCTATAGGTCCTGGGGCAGCTCAGGAATCATGGCTTCTGTGGCAACCATGAGACTGTCTCAGTAAGTTAGAGGCCCATTAGGCAGGGTATGGATGCGGGTGGCGCTGTGGGTTAAACCACAGAGCCTAGGACTTGCCGATCAGAAGGTCGGTGGTTCGAATCCCCGCGACGGGGTGAGCTTCCGTTGCCTGGTCCCTGCTCCTGCCAACCCAGCAGTTCGAAAGCACTTCAAAGTGCAAGTAGATAAATAGGTACCGCTCCGGCGGGAAGGTAAACGGCGTTTCTGTGTACTGCTTTGGTTCACCAGAAGTGGCTTAGTCATGCTGGCCACCCGGCTCCCTCGGCCAATAAAGCAGGATGAGTGCCACAACCCCAGAGCCGGCCACGACTGGACCTAATGTTCAGGGGTCCCTTTACCTTCACCTAGGCAGGGCATAACCTGGTTCAGGTTTCTGCAAGGGAGTGGGAAGGCAGAACAGAAATGCATCGATAGCGGGGTTTGTGCTGAGCCCATTGTCAGATAGATCATTTCCTGGTGACATTTGGAGTGATGATGCAGCGCCCTGTATAAATCCTCATAAAACCTGAGAAGTTCAGATCAGAAGAATCTTTATTTGCATCAGCCACTAGCCATAGGAATAAAATAAAATAAAATAAAATGTATTGAAGATAGAGGTAAAAACTTAACTATACAAAATACATTTTGGAGGTTCACATCAGTAATCAAATAATAGATCTTATTCTAATTGCCCCCACTAAAAACCTTGCAGATTTTGCTGCCACCTGGTCATCTTGATCCGCTGGATGAAAGGACACAGTAGCAATGGTTGAGCAACCCAGCATGGACAATAGAAGAGGGGTAATACCCTCACTCCTCAAATCTTTATATAGAGTGCAACCAGAAGCTCATGAGCCACTGACTCAATACTGCAATCTCCACATGGACATCATTGTTTTTCCAGTGGAATTTTCTGAAATTGACCCTCAAGTACAGCTGAAGGCAGTTTATTCAAGCTTGCGAAAGTGAAAGCATGCCTGTATTTTGGAATTGTTATTTTTTGCAAATAGGGTGCCCAAGTGTCAAAATGACTAGATATAAAATAATCATACCATGGACAAAATTGCCTTATTGTGGCCAAATTATTCTGTCGCTCAATTAGGTGCTGTCTAATTTAATTATTTACTTTACTGAATCTCAGTGTTAATAACTGTTGTGATGATAAACCAGAAAAGTAAAACTTTTGGTTGATAATTTTAGTCCAAGCACTCTGATGACCATCTTGCAATACTAAGGGTAGTAGACCAGTGGGGTTTAAATTTAGGCAAAGCCTATAATTAAATGTCCTACACCAAACCTGTAATTCAACTGAGGGGAGACTAGCCTCTAAGCGCAATGAAGCATTTGGAACACAGGATGGAATAGAAAAAAATTGCCTTAGGAACTTAGGTTGAACAGCTTCTGTAGATCCAAGGTGAGGCCCTGTCCAAATC